TTGGCGTTCGCGCAGGTATAGTGGATACATTTAGCTTATTGTAAGCATGACCAATACGCTACTTACCATTCGGTTTCTTGAGCAAGAAGATATATGTAGAGTTTCGAGACTTGCTATCACGTACCATACCCGCTGCGTGCTTTGCACAGAAAAAAACTCGTTTATGACGTCACATTGTTCTTTTTGGCAGAGACAACTGTAGTGTTACGCAGTAGTTGGTTCCGGTATCCAAGCCATTTTTATGACGTACTTCTCTATCAGGAGGTAGAACAGACGGTAGGTCATGACACACCAGTTCTGAATAATTCTTGACTACAGGATAAAAGGGATCCGAAGGGTATTCAAGATCGAGTATCCACTACGTGCATTAAATTTCTCGTTTGCATCTTCAAGGATTGCCTCATCTATAAGCGAGGATGAGTTTAACTCAAGGCTAGGTCGAATGACGACCAGAGCGTCTGACAATGAAAGAGCCGCAAGACCAACCTCACCATCTACATCACCTATCACTACGTTGACCAGGGTGTAAAACTGTTATCTGACATCGAACAAGATATAACAGACGCTTTCCGTCTCGCATAAGCCATTTGACAATGCTGTATATACCGTACTTGTTAAAGTAATCGGAATAATATTATCCCCAAGGTCTATAGGTTCTCAATCTGTACAAAGTTGATGGCATTACCGACATTCAAGAAGATGCTCTTACGGGCAACATCATTACCAAGTTTTCCGTCCTTTTAATTGCTCTATTCGAAAGCCGATGAGATTACTGACATCCAGTAAAATTCTTTTACGGCTAACATCAATCGATAATTTATACTTCACGCGCATCACTCGGGTGCGAACCGAAAATACTCAACTTTATTCCAACCATGCTTTCAGCATTGAGCAACTTATTAACACTATGACCGGAGTGCGTATGAAAGCAGATGCGTAGCACTCACTAGGTGGTTAATTGAATACTAACATATACTTGGTCCTTAGTTCGCCAACAAGTGCTACATTCAAGACACTCCAATATTAACTATACCATACTCAGCTGAAAGCGCGCCATAATCAACCGTCATCATGTCCGTAATCCTGCGTCTATCCAATAGGCGCTCAGCGGTGCGATAGTATACCTTACCTTCAACATGTCCATCTTCAAGACTCCTCCTCGCGATCGCATCTTACGCCTCATCTATTGCAAACCCGCTTGTAAGCGCAACTTAGCGAGCTTGTGCTGGTCGACCGGCTTTGTCAATAAGTCTGCGAGCATCATTTAGGACCGAACATAGCATACCTCTAGTATACCGCGACGAGCAAAGTCCTTGATAAAATTGAGCCGTACATCAATAAGCTTTGCACTTTAGGACGAAGCCTCGCCTTCAATATGGCAGATTGCAGCTTGATAGTCCACATGCATCTTCATAGGCAAATTCGGTAGATGTCCTAGTTCCATCAGCAACTCTCGAATTCCAAGAAGCTCGCGAGCCGTTTCGGACGCTGCTATGGACTCAGCCTCCTTCGTCGAGAGCGAAACTCCTCCTTGCTTCTTTGCAGCCCAACTCACGGGCATATCACTGAGCAGCACCATTGATCCGGTCAGGAACTTCCTGTCGCCCTTGTCTGCAGCGAAGTCTGCATCGCTGTAAGACTCCAGCGTAATCGCCAAATTATCCTTGGCGTTGGTACGCATCTCAAATTGCATGTTCTTGGTCCCGGCGAAGTAACGCGCAATTTTCTTCGCCAATTTCCAGTCTTACTCCCGTGGCTCATGAGCGTGTCGCGTTGCTTTGTGGACCGCAAACGCGATGTCCGGCCGAGTACATCTCGCGACACACAACAAACTTCCAACAAGAGACTTTAACGACTTGATTGTTGGCCTTGCAGGTTCAACAATCTTCGTAAGCAGGATTCAGTCCGAAGTGGCTATATTGTAACCATCGTCGCTGATCGGAGCGAGTGTCGGGTTCGCCGACTCCAATCCGTGCTCCCGGAGTAGTTCATTTATTGCCTCCTCCTGGTCTAAAGCATACGCGCTCGAATCAATCGCTTTTACTAGAATTCCAAGGATATTCGACACCTGTCCCAGGTTATTAATCGAAAGCGATTCCATCGCCAACAAAAAACAATCAACAGCCGCCGCCGTAGTCGCCGTGACTAGTAGGTCATCAACGTATACACCCACCACGGTCATCTCGCCACCGTCTCGCTTGTAGTACAGACACATGTCACTTATGCACTGCATAAACCCTGCGTCGATGAGTTTTGTCTGCAACAGCTGACTCCAAAGTCGTCCTGCTTGTTCGAGCCCGTAATGATCTTCTTTGAGTCGAGAGCGACGTCGCTTGCACTATCCGCTTATGTGCCTTGAGCCGTTCGTCCTTGATCTGTTTGCCGCTTGGTGCGTGCAGCAATATCTCTTGATGCTCCTCCTTGTCAGCCTTCACATACGCGTTTGTATTGTCTACGTGTTTCGCAGTTACACCCCATATCGCTGCGAGTCCCAGGATCACCTTCATCGTCGAAATTTCCATCACGGCGGCGAAGGTATGTGAGTAGTCGATATCGAAGACTTGCTCGTTCCCACATGCAACCAGTCGTGCCTTGAGTAGGTCCACTGCGCCGTTTGCATCTGTCTTGGTCTTGTATACCCACTTACTGTGTAGCAGGTTTGTATCGGCCGGTCGCTTGATCACGTTTTACACGTCGTTGTTCTCAAGCGCCTGGATTTCTTCGAGCATGTCTTTACTCCAACCTTCGGCCTTTGAGCTGCTCATCGCCTCAGCTTGTGTCTTTGGGTCCGGCTCGTGGACTTGTAGAGCGGTGGATACATAATTAGTTGCAGGCATTGTCTCTGCCATAGAGCGCTTGGTTGCTCCACGTGTGCCATAGGGGGCGCGCGTACATCGTTTGCCTCTTCCCTTGCCTTTCTTTTTCTTGTCGTCGTCGCAAAAATTCCCGTGAGCGATCCGCGCGTCACCTCGGGAATTATCATTATGGTCTTCTCATTGTGCATTTTGCGTGTCGGGAAACGTCTGAATAATGTTGACGTGTTGCGTCACCATAAAGATGTTATCCTTGCAAATAGAGACACGGTAACCCTTAGTCTCGTCGCTGCGCCCCACAATTGTTCCAACTTGCGCTCGATGTGCGAGCGAATTCTTCTTTAGGTCGCGGTACACCGTGCACGTTGATCCAAACACAACGATGTCAAGCAAATCGTGGGCTTGTTTCGTCACACCTCGATTGGAGACGCACGGTTGGGGTTCGATCTTGTAGGTCTACGATTCAGGATGTACGTCAAGTACTCAACAGCATCACCCCAAAATTATAGCGGTAGGTCGCTCGCAAATATCATGGAGAGCGCCGTATTTAACACCGCTCGGTGCATATGCTCAGAATTACCATTTGACGCTTGATGTCGCGCCTCACTAACCTGTATCGCCACGTCGGATGACTTGCAAAGTAGGTCCACATTCTTGTACTCACGTCCACCGTCAGTGCGAAGGACATGAATCCGGCAATTGGAACGCTTTTCAAAGAACGACAAGAAGTGCTCTACCTTTTTCGCCGCTTTGTCCTTGGTACGCGCGAGAAACACGCGGCAGTAATTGCTTTTGTGATCCACAAAGCTGACGAGATACCGATTCCCCATTCGGTTCTTCGGCGTTATGGTTTTTTAAAGGTCCGAACAGATTTCACCACCAATACGATCAATTGGTGAGTGCACCTCGGTGTCCTTCTTGGACTGAGCGTTCTTCGTCTGCTTCGCTTACGCGCACGTGACACACGTCACCCGTTGAAAGTCTGTAAGCCGAATGCCGGAGTTAGGCTTGCGAGCCATCCTTTCTTTCGTGTCGTAAGCGAGATGGCCAAAGCGTTATGAAAGTACATTAGCGTTCCCACATGCACATCCTCCTCATCTTTTTTCTTAGTTGCTTCATCAATCGTAGTCATGACTGTGCCTTCCATTTCTTCATTGACTTTCGTGTTTTGCGTCTCAAGGAAGAGTACGTTGTTTCACATAGCCACGTCAAACACGCAGTTTCCGGTAGTAAGCGAGAGTAGCGCTCGCCGATTATCCTTGTATATTTGAGCCCGTATCCTTTTAGCTCCATCTTTCCATACGACACAATATTGCGTGTTATCAACGGTGAGTAGTAGACATCAGCCAGCCGAATAACGCTTGCTCTTCCGTATGCCATCACGTGAAGCACCATACTTCCGACCATTGTTAGTCGAAGCGTCTTTCCGTCGGCGACCACGCATTGGTCGTCATACTCACGTGCATCCTCTAGAAGCGCCATATCATTAAAGAGGTGCCTGCTGGAACCGCTGTCCAGTATCGAACACTTGTCCTTAGCTTTGTCGTCTTGCACGGACAGAGTGTAGTTAACATCGTCCTAAGTACTGCCATTGCCCCGCCACGTCCCCTTAGCACCTTATTTCTTTTTCGACTATTTTCTGTCGTCAGGACAGGCGAACTGGATATCTTCGACTTTGCCACATCTATAACACGTGCGTGTGTTACGACGTCCTTACCAAAAGAGGCAGCATTTCGTGTGTCCAGCTCAACATATTGCGCGAAATGTGCAAGCTCTTCAGCTTGAGCGAGGTATTCGACCCGTTTTCCGTCGTACTTGGCCATCAACACCGTGTGAAGCTCACTTGATGCCTAGTGTACGATGTTGGCGAGCACCTGCGCGCCAGCGCCGCCTAATGCATCACTCACCGCCACCAAGTAAAGGTAATGCTCGGGCCAGCTCCTCTTTAGGATTTAAACAGCTTCATCGACTGGGAAGTTATAATAGTCGTCTTGAACGTCTGATGCAGCCGCTCCATGACGTGTGCAAGCGTCGGAGTCTGGTGCCACCATGTCTCAACCTACTTGTGGTAGTATTTCTCGGCTGTACCACTCAGGAAGTGACCAAGCAAGTCGGTCTTCACGTCTTTGGACCAGTCAATACCACATGCCGCTCAAGCGTACTGGACCTGACGCATGAAGGTTCTTCCTAGTCAAGGAAACCGGAGCCTAAGCCACGATATAGCTCGGAGCCATCAAACTTTCGAATTGTTAGCCGTCGTTGGCGCTCATTCGGAACTCGCATTGCTCGCTGCGCATCCGGCTCCATCCTTCTCGCGTAATCTTGAGCCACCGCGTACTTCGAACTAGAATAAGGTGCGCGTACTGGTGGTGATGCTTGCGGTGCCCTACACTCTGGCTGCGCCGCATGTTGACCTGCTCCATGATGTAGCATGCTCGAATGACCTTGTCCAGTTCTTGGACGCACCGGTGGATGTCCGAGTGCATCGATATGCAACGGAGCACCGCCGCGACCGTTGGAAAGCGCAGAGCGAAACATTCCTGACTCAATCGCGCCCATCATCCGCTCTTCTTCGTCGAGCTTCTGCTGCGAGACCTCCATCTGCGCCATGCGCGCTTGGAGGCCGACGAGGGTCGCGAGTATCCGCGCGTTGACGTCGTCTCCCCTTTCGTGGGCCGTCGGAGCGCCTTGAACTACCGCTGGAGACGCTTCGGCCCTTTCGTGGCCATCGTCGAAGCTGACTGGCATTGGCGCGGCTGGCCCGCCGTCGGAGCCAGTCGTTGGGCTCAAAACCTTTAAAAGCAGATGCGTAGCGCTCACTAGGCTGGTTAATTGAATGCTAACATATACTTGGTCCTTAGTTCGCCAACAAGTGCTACATTCAAGACACTCCTATATTAACTATACCATACTCAGCTGACAGCGCGCCCATAATCAACCGTCATCATGTCCGTAATCCTGCGTCTATCGAATAGGCGCTCAGAGGTGCGATAGTATACCTTACCTTCAACATGTCCATCTCTAACAGTACGTGCCGTTTCACTACGTGTCAACGAGCGTTATTAACACTACTATCGTTCTAGTAACTCATACACTCCATTTTTCAGGACACTTACTAAATGGGTTAGTGGCTCACGCCAATAGCGCTATTGATTCTTAGCAAAGGTGGGTTTACAACTTTACAAAGCCCCGCTAAGAGCATTGCGCATAGCTCCTAAGCTTTGGACCTCCAATCTATCCATGGCCCATGCCTCCCCGCCAGGCCATACCAAGAATGAGATTATATCTCGAGTCTAAATCTAGGACAAGACAGCTTTAGATGGTATCGAGTCTAAAGATGTCACACCTACTGTGTAACATGACTTTAGGAACCGTAAAAGTGCTCCAGTCGCGAGACGGACCGTGATAAAATCACCTTCTACGCATTAAGCGCCCCAGTATACCGCTGACTCCTTGAAGCAAACAGCTTCGGGTAAAAGCATTTGACGCTCTGAATTGGTCGAATTGATTATGGCTTATCAAAGCTCTTAATGGTTTCCAATACAACTAACGAGCCTAGCTTGTACTCACGTTTCGTAGAATCTTCCACGAAGTCCGAGGCTAATCCCTGCCCACCTCTACCGTTTAGAGGTTCCACAGAACCTAGTTCAGCTACCCCGCACATAAAGAAAGTTTGCGTTTCCTCCACCACGACAGCCTTTCGGCTTAAGGCAAATTACGGCTCTGTCAATCCTGAAGTTGTTTTCGCAACGGACAGCTTGGGCGGAGGTGCCTTGTGCTTTCGCAACGGGCATCTTGACGGAGGCGTCTTGTTCTTGCGCACATGTAAATTTTCGGATGTTACTTTGCTGTTCAGCATCTTATAGCTCAGTTTATTTAGTTCCAGCATAGAGATCCATGGGTTTGACCATATCACGTGAGCACAAATTATGCCCATGGGTTCAGAAAGCGAGCCGCTTTGAAGTTAAACACGTTATTTAACGATATTTCTACCGCCTCCTCGAAATTTGAAAGTTAGACGCGGAAGGCTTCCGTCCTGGCGACCTCAGTGCGGTCCCCTTTTATTTAAATGATTACTCGACCTAATAGATTGCAGCATTCTGTGTGTGACTATATCCTATAAAAGCAGATCGCCAAATCGGACCCCTTCTCTTGGAAGAGAGTCCAGATGCATAGAAGCAAGAAGAGCCCTCAACGCTTCGACATAATCTATATTTACTTCTTTCCCTATTGGGAAGCTATGTAGCGCGAGTTCACGCGATATGTCTGGATCTCTAGGCAGACATTCATATCTTGGTCCACTCGACTTATTCGAGTGGTGGACCTTCGGCGCTACCTGTGCTCGCGCACAGCCACCGGCAGTTTTCTCCACAGTGTGAATGTCTGTCACACTTAGTTCTGGTGCAGTCGTGCTGACGAACGAACCACAAGTGAGGCTATCGCACTGACTCGTAGTACATTCACACACTTGTGAACGCTCCAAGACGTTCATTAAATGGCCATCTAGTAAACAAGCGGCAGGCATCTTTACGGTTCGATGCTGCCAGCTGACCCATGGCTCGTATCTTCTGAGCCACGGTAATCCTAGAATGACATAAAAATTGTCATCCAGATCGAGTACGATGAAATCATCATCGTACTTTTTACCTTTAAGTGTGTAGTGAATTCTCACTACACGTTCATATACTATTTAGAATTTGCCAGTTACGGGCGCACCTTCATCCTCGTTGGAGGAGTCTCACACTTAACATATTCGAGCCTACGATCATCTAGCTACGGGCCTCGTACAAAGCTGTTTGATACTCACAGTATACTAGAGCGCGAAGTGACATGTTATTTGTCACTTCGATCTTCAAGGTGATGAGGGAAACCTCATCACTCGGAGCGGCAGCACACATTGACTGTTTGTTATCAGCAACTTTCGTCAGGAGTTCCTCGAGCTTATCTTGATCTCACTTGATCATTAGGGCGTTCCTCCCCCTACTAGCCCCCGACCATTCTATAGATAGTCCAGCACGTGGTTGCGATTTCGCAATAGCGTGGGCGTATCGGGATAAGGGTGTGGTGTAGAGGGTTCTCAAAATTGTATGATGAGACCCCAAACCACTCACTGTGCCGGACTGCCGACTGTCGGAGGGGGTACCCCGATGCCGCGTATGGACCTACTTCTCACCTTGTGTACCAGTCGTCTGGCGGGTTGCACACTTCGGAAGACTTGGTGAGGACGTAGACGTCTGCCTTGAGGGAGGTAGACCTGGGGGGCCTCGATTGGATATGATTCACTCGGTCGGCCGATAGATGGCCACTCGATCGACCTTATCGAGAATGAACTTAGAGCCAATTTTTAGGGAGCTTATTTCTGGACTTTTCCTTCGTGTTTCAGGGGTATCAACCACCTGACCTTTACTTTGCTCCCGGACCGTGAGGTAAGGGATACCGCTTCCGATAGAGGGTCTAGGGGTGTTGCTACTCGAACGAGCTCACAGGCCAAATATATCCTAGAGCTATATTCGCACTTGAACTTCGCTACACAACTGTCTTCAACGGGGGGGCCAAAATGTATCTCTTCCCGGAACAGTGAGTAACTTAGAGCAAGTTCTTCTTGGGTGACGAAGTCGTGCCACGTAGATCGCAAATTAAGTAGTATTTAATATAGTCCTATCCTTTTAACTCCTATACTCTATCCTTTCCTGAAACTCTGATTCCTTGCGTCGACTGGTCTGATCTTTGTGTTAAATGGTCAGGAATGGCTGAACCCCGAGGAACCGAGGTCGACCAACGAGGGACCGGGTCTACCAGCGAGGGACCGGGTCTACCAGCGAAGGACCGGGTCTACCAATGAGGGACCGGGTCGACCGATGAGGGACCAGGTCTACCTACGAGGGGCCGGGTCGACTGATGAGGGAACGGGTCGACCGATGAGGGACAGGATCCAGCAATGATGGACCGGGCCTTCCATAGAACCCCATGGTCGACTCCCTTCAGTACCGGTTGAACAGTACCCTGGTAATGATCTCTCCTTTGTTTGTCTTTCACATTCTCAGCGAACGGTCTCTTCACGCCGAGCATTCCTTTCTTTCCGGTCCCTTCTCTCTGGTGCGTGGTCCCTTATCTCTGGTCCACAGCCCCTTGTCCTTTTAATCCAATTGGCCCCTCGGTTCTTCACAATTACGAAAAGCACATTACCACACAACACAGGAGAGGTCCATTGACTCTGGACCTTCGCCCTCCTGTCGTCTCGGCGAACGATAGGATTCCGAGAGGACACGTGCCTCTTGAAGGCTGAAGTCCAACTGTTCCGCTGCAGAGATCGCTTGATCAAGCGACCCCAATTCGAAGCTGAACAGTGGGTCTTGACGGGACCATCCGTCAGACCCTTGATAAACACAGCAACCTATGCTTGTTTATCAATTAGATTTAGCACGATACAACTGACAAGGTATCGTAGCGTTGTGGGCGTAAGCGTGTATATCACTCTTACCCTATTTCAGATCCAGGAGCTCAGCTCAAGCCTTACATTTGTCGCGCGGTGGTTCAACGTATGTTTCATCCGCGCCTTGTAGACATACGTTGGAGAAACGTATGTGTCATGCAGTTTGAGTCCTAAGGCCCAAGCTTTGGCACACCCAGCCAAGTTTGAAATAGAGAACTTGACATCACCGTATCGTCATCGATGCGACATAGCCTCAATGGCATCGTAGAGTTCGAAGAACCATCTCAACAAGGGGTCACTTTCGACTGCCTTGTACTAAGAGACAACAAACTTCAAGGATTTTGAGTCGACGCATATGCGTCGACTCGGCAGCAGCAGCACTTGCTTGCTGTTGTCTTAACAGCTTAGAATGTAAGGAATAGTGCTGCATCAACAAGTCATCTTGTTGAGAGCCTTTCTTCTGTAGTAAGGTGAGTTTCTTTACAACTTCGTCACGTTCATGTTAAATGAACTTGGCGATGGTTGCATATTAATAATCTGTAATTAGAAAAAGCAACATGGCATCGACAGCGACATCCATCACGTTGTCAGTCGTACGCTTTACCGCTTGCCATTTGAGATCACTCGAATGGAAGAAGTCATTACGCGATGCTTGATGACATTTCACATCCGCTTTTTTCATGGCGGATAAATCGACGTTCGTTGAAAGGACCAAGAAGTGCTAATAGTTGTGACGGAGCACCCTCCGACTATATTGATAGCACTATAGCCTACCTATACCGATGATAGTGTAAGCAGGTGCCTAGAAACCTTACGTACACGGACGGAGGCAGAGAAAGCTAAACTACTAAGTAAAACACTTAAATGTTAGGGAAAAGAGAACTGTAATTAATAGAGTTCAACTATCTGATAAAACTCTCATGTTTATAAATGTGTCTTCTATATGAACTACAGATATCTATGTTGACAGCTTGCACTCCATTCATTGCGCGCGTCCATCGGTCATTGGTCAACACGTTGGTTAATATAATGGCCTATGTCAATCAAATTAGAGGGCATCTCCAACTTAAAGGAGATGCTTGAACAATATTATAAGTTAAGATAATATTGTCAAATATTATTAGCTATAGTAATATTCTTATTGACACTTCACATATGGGATAATATTATCTAAGGGACTCGCCGCGTTACATATACCGAGGTAAGACCATTTCTGTCATGTATGATAAGGATGAGTGGCTGGACAACTAAGTGGTTTGTTTGCGGTGTTATTTGTACCCTGTAGCTACAATGCCACATGTCATGGTTGTATCCGCTTTTAACAGGACTCATGTTGGTACCAAATGTCGACGTACGAGGAGCACTCTCGAACGTGTTTAGCAAAGCAGTACGACAATTACTGCTGCCCATGTAAGATGACACACGAATGATTGCCTATCAAGATATCCACGTAACCTTCTGCATTAGTTCTTATTGGTGCTAACTACTACCTATTGAACAAAGTGTCGTTCATATTCATCATGGCGTCTCTTATCGCTGTGGAATTTAAAGGGTGACTACATCATTGATCTAGAAATTTTGGATACCTGCCATGTAGAGGCAGAGAAGGTATATGTAAAAGTCGCTTCTGCCCTGCAGCTGCGATACAAATCACGACCAACCAGAACTGGTCTCAAGATAAATATGGAACAATGGATGGTGGATCCATCCACACCGGACGACCAGTCGTCAAGTACTACCATGCGTAGAACCACTTGTACCGCTACAATTCTGACTTGATTAGTTTGGAATGACGTAGGTACAGCCACAACCATAGCACTTCATAGTCACCACTGCTGCACATGCAGTTCTAAGGTTGAGTGAAGATTCGAATCGATTCGAATCGATGTCTCGACGTATGAGTAGTGTTGTCTTCATTCGAAAGGGTGGTGTTATATGTACGTACAAACAAACTATTCCGTGGTACCTCGTTTCTTGATCGTGATCCTGGTCCTGTTGCACTCAAGCGTACATTCCCTACAAGTGGTACCATATAACGGCGCTGTGATGATGGTCTCGTTACGGTAAAGACACATCACTTGTCAACGTACAAAGAAGCTTCAAGCAATCTCGTCAGCTGATTGCCTGATCGCACGTCATTCATGAGGACGACAGTCTCATCTTGGCAGAAGCGCCGAAGTGGTCTATGTGTAACATCTGTAAACGGTCCATGTGTACCTCATTCCTCCACTGAAAAGCCACCTGTCGTCCTCATGTTCTGTATCGTAACGCATATGTTAGTCGAATACAAACCGCGAGTAGCGACGACAGTGACACTACGATGCATGCTAATGTTCATAGAACGATACTCTTCACTGTCTTGATCGGACAAAGCCCATCATCTGACAATGTGTATTTGCAAACTGTAAACATTTGTTGACCTGGCCATCGATCTGCAATGTGGACACGCTGAACGGTTCATTCCTGTTTCTTGGCTCTCCCCCACAACATCAGCATGGGGATTTTTCACAAAGGCGACATCATCGGTCGATCGTCCTTGTCGAGTGACACGTTGCAGTCCAAGGACTTTGAGAGTGGAAACCACTTTAAGGAGCACAAGTCACCTATTCATGGTGGAGCTTTGCGTGAGGGTGGTCCCCCCAATCTCCTGAGTAAAGACTGCTTAGGTCTACTGGTTCAGTATGCTGCCATCGGTCTCATTTACGGTGTGTTACCAGCCACGACCTACCCGTTCTTACAGAACTATCTCAATGCATCGGGTACTCAAGTGACAACGGCAAACACTCTGCTATTTCTACCGTGGAGTTTCAAATGTTTCTACGGGATCTTGTCCGACTGTGTTCCATTGTGGGGATATCGTCGTCGACCATGGATCGTAATTGGGTGGATCATTTGTTTGAGCATGTTGATCATTATGGCTTGCATGCCGGCGGGAGACCCGTACTACACAGTGTCAGCTGACCGTGACATCAAGCCGGCTGATTACACGCCTGAGATCAAAGCCCGCATCAATTCTACAGCGGCTTCACAAGCTGCCAAGTATGTCATGCTCATGTGTTTTGCCGCTGCGGGCTACGTATTGGCAGACGTCTGTGCCGATAGTATCGTGGTGGAATTCGCGCAACGTGAGCCGCTCGAGTCACGCGGCAAGACCCAATCGGCCATATATACCGTACGCACAGTCTTTGTCATTATCGGACAGCTTCTGACTGGTTTCTGCTTTAACGGTGAAAAGTATGGCGGTGACTTTGACTTCTCGCTCACTTTTCCCCAGCTCATGATAATTCTTGCCGTCCTACTGGTACCGGTTATCCCAATGACTTGGTTCTTTATCAAGGAAGAGAAGAAACCGCATGTGAATTTCATGCTCTACTTACAAGAGCTATGGGAATTAATTCAGAAACGAGTGGTGTACCAAGTTATCTTGTTCACATTCTTTCAAGGCATGTTCTCGCAGATCACGTATACGGCCAGCTCCCCCGTGCAATCGTACCTGGTGGGTGTCACTCCAATCAATGACACGATAAGCAACATCTTGGGTAACAGTCTGTTCATGGCCGGTATCATGATTACGTCAAAGTGGGGCCTGCAATGGAACTGGCGCTGGATGATCGTGTTCACTAGTGCCGTTTTCTCGACTGCTGACGGCATCACCACCTTTATCACGATCTGGGACGTATTCCGTAGTCAATGGTTCTGGCTCGGTCTGCCTATTGCCGCGCAGATTCCGAACGGAGTAAACTTTGTCATTTCTAGCTTTGTGATCGTCGAGCTTTCTGGCACCGGTAACGAAGGAGTCGTCTATGGGCTGATCACCATGGTGTCCAACTTGGCGCAGCCGTTTGCTACAGCCATGACCCTACTGATTGATCAGCCATTTAACCTGACCACAAAGCGCATTCAGACCGACGACAAATCAATTCGTATGGACATCACATACGTGGTGATCATCATGTACGCGATGACGGTTTTCTCCTGGATCTTCCTGATATTTCTACCTCGTCAGAAGGAAGAGACGCAAGCGCTCTTGCGTACTGGTGGCAGCAGCAAGATGATGGGTGCGATTACTGTAGCCTATCTCACGTTTGCGTTTGTCTGGTCTGTCATGACCAACATCATGGCCATATTCCACAGCACGTCATGTTTAATAATAGCCGGTGGTAGCGGCTGCTAAGACTGTACAACATGAAGCAGTTTTCTAGCTTTGACATGATGTGTTTTGTAGTCGAAAGGGTGTAGCAGTCTATACCATGAAATACTTGATCAAACACAAACTTGTGCAATTTGTAGCCGCCTTCCTTACTGTCAACTTTAGTCCTCTTCCACGTATCATGTAACAGTCTGGCTTTCGCTTTAGCTATTTGATAGCTTCCTATGCAAAAGACAAACATTTTCCATAAGAAACACGATGTCTCATTCTATCGAAACACAATACACATGAACAATTTAGTTGATAGTGTTCAGCCTCAGTCTCAAGGATTCTTATGGTAATGGTAAATTGTAAGTGTCAGAGCTTCTTTCGTTCCCGTAAGATATCCATTGAAGTGCTGACTTGACAACATTTATCAAATTAGCAGCCTTTGCCACCGACAATAACAAGGCACGATGTCGATTCGAACATGGCCATGATGTTGGTCATCAGTGCCCAAACAAACGCGATTGAAACGTAGATAATAGTAAAAACGCCCATCATTTTATTGCTGCCACCTGTACGAAGTATCTCCTGAGTCTCTTCCTTTTGACGTGGAAGGAATACTAAGAACGACCAGGAGATAATTGTCATGCCATACATGATTAACACCGCATAGGTGAGGTCGGTTCGGATCGAGTTGTCGTCTTCCTGGATACGAGCCGTGGTAAGGTTGAACGGCTGATCGAGCACCAGCGTCAAAACCTGGGCAAATGGAGCCGCAAGATTGCCGACCATCGTGAGAAGGCCGAAGATCGCACCTTCATTGCCGACGCCAGATAGCTCGACGATCACAAAGTCGCTAACCATCCATCCAACACCCAACGGGAGATGTACAGCCATCGGTAGACCTAGCCAGAACCATTGACTATGCAAGACATTTTAAGGTGCATCTGAAGTGGTGACTTTGGGCAAAACATTGAGTGATACTTTGTGAGTATTAATGGACGACTAAAGTCTGTTAATATAATATTAACACTTATGTGAAGTGTCAATAAGAATATTACTATAGCTAATAATATTTGACAATATTATCTTAACTTATGATATTGTTCAAGCATCTCCTTTAAGTTGGAGATGCCCTCTAATTTGATTGACATAGGCCATTATATTAACCAACGTGTTGACCAATGACCGATGGACGCGCGCAATGAATGGAGTGCAAGCTGTCAACATAGATATCTGTAGTTCATATAGTAGACACAAGATTTGACATATAAGTTATATTAGATAGTTTAACTCTATTAATTACAGTTCTCTTTTCCCTAACATTTAAGTGTTTTACTTAGTAGTTTAGCTTTCTCTGCCTCCGTCCGTGTACGTAAGGTTTCTAGGCACCTGCTTACACTATCATCGGTATAGGTAGGCTATAGTGCTATCAATATAGTCGGAGGGTGCTCCGTCACAACTATTAGCACTTCTTGGTCCTTTCAACGAACGTCGATTTATCCGCCATGAAAAAAGCGGATGTGAAATGTCATCAAGCATCGCGTAATGACTTCTTCCATTCGAGTGATCTCAAATGGCAAGCGGTAAAGCGTACGACTGACAACGTGATGGATGTCGCTGTCGATGCCATGTTGCTTTTTCTAATTACAGATTATTAATATGCAACCATCGCCAAGTTCATTTAACATGAACGTGACGAAGTTGTAAAGAAACTCACCTTGCTACAGGAGCAAGGCTCTCAACAAGCTGACTTGTTGATGCAGCACTATTCCTTACATTCTAAGCTGTTAAGACAACAGCAAGCAAGTGCTGCTGCTGCCGAGTCGACGCATATGCGTCGACTCAAAATCCTTGAAGTTTGTTGTCTCTTAGTACAAGGCAGTCGAAAGTGGCTCCTTTTTGAGATGGTTCTTCGAACTCTACGATGCCATTGAGGCTGTGCCGCATCGATGACGATACGATGATGTCAAGTTCTCTATTTCAAACTTGGCTGGGCGTGCCAAAGCTTGGGCCTTAGGACTCAAACTGCATGACACATACGTTTCTCCAACGTATGTCTACAAGGCGCGGATGAAACATACGTTTGAACCACCGCGCGACAAATGTAGAGCTCGAGCTAAGCTCCTGGATCTGAAATAGGGTAAGAGTGATATACACGCTTACGCCCACAACGCTACGATACCTTGTCAGTTGTATCGTGCTGAACCTAATTGATAAACAAGCATAGGTTGCTGTGTTTATCAAGGTTCTGACGGATGGTCCCGTCAAGACCCACTGTTCAGCTTGGAATTGGGGTCGCTTGAACAAGCAATCTCTGCAGCGGAACAGGTGGACTTCAGCCTTCAAGAGGCTCGTGTGCACTTGGGATCTTATCGCCCACCGAGACGATAGGAGGGCGGAGGTCCAGAGTCAATGGACCTCTCCTGTGTAGAGAGCGAGCGACTTCGCTCTCCAGGATACAAGCGATCGCAAAAGTGCAATCGCTGTCAAAAAAGGATCACTACGCTTATTAGTGTAGTGACCACGCCCAGTGTCTTGTAACACTGGGGGCGACGATCGTCCGTCTGCCAAGAAGGGCTACAGACGAAGGCCCCACTGTAATGGGGCAAACTATTACATAAGTAGTTATAGGAATAATAAATAATTACATAAGTACTCCGCCCACATTACGGCGAAGACGACAGCGAAGATCTTCATAGATCCTACCTTTAAGCATAACGGCTTGCTACAATCTATTGTTTCGTACCGTGACCAGCGTTTCACTTCGACTTTCTGGGCCGAATTAGTCCATCTATTAGGCACGCGGTTGCTTATGTCTACGGCGGCCCATCCAGAGATGGATGGGAAAACGGAGCGTGTGAACAGAGCGCTCGAAGATGTCTTGCGCAATTATGCAACATCGTTCTCGCCATGGATCTCTTTTCTTCCACTTGCAGAGTTTGCAATCAATATTGCTGTCCATTCGTCAACCGGGTTGTACCCTTTTTCGTTCACAACGCGAGGCATCCTCGCTATCCGGCGCTTCTTGCTATCTCAGTCTTAGAGCACTCAGTCTAAAAGCGTGGTGGGGGAGTATCTATCGATGGAATTGCGCCGAAACTATTGTTGATTGATCACGATGAGGATAAGGTTGCTGCCGATGCACCTAATACTGGTAATTTTGGGGCCAAAGGCATATCGAATTCTGACGCGATGCATTCCATCGTGTCTCCCGTTGCTAATTTTACTCCAAAAGAGAATATGTCGCATAAGAGCTCGGCTGCAGTAACCAAATTTATGCTATTACGACAAGTAATCACGCGATTTGTGCGTGATGTATTACAAGAGGCAGTCGACAAGCAAAAGGACAATGCAGACAGAACAGGTTTAAAGAATATGCTGATATTTCGAGAAGGTGACAGAGTATTGTTATCAACAAGTGGATTACCGAACACCTCAGTGACGAATTTGGGCGCTAATAAGTTAGCGCCAAGATATATTGGCCCATTTCGGGTCGTTAAGGTGCATGGTGACGCTTACACGCTAGCTATACCTACATCTATGTCCTTGCACCCGACGTTTTACATTGGGCGCCTCAAAGCCTACTTACCGGTGGAGATCCCTTCGAATCTTCACCGCTCTTCTGCGCCGGCTCAAAATCCGACATCCCTTGACGACGAGGCTGACGTCGACTGGGACCAAGTCCTGTCCGAACGCGTGCAGACTCGATCTGCTGGGGTCCTTCGAACGCAGTCGTCTTAAGTCGGTGTAGGCGCTTAATTAGCACCCGCTACTCTCGTCGAGTCCGCTCAGCATCCTCAGTTGCAGCAACCGCACAATCCCGAGCTATCTCATCCATCTCGAGCATTAAGTAGGGCGTTCTTCGACTCTTTTGGCTTCAGCGCGAAGAAGACGCAGCTCGTAATTCGACTGTACAGGCGTCCAATAGCGAGAATCGGCGCTCATCGCTAGCAGTCTTCCGTCGTGATGCTCCTCCACCCTTAGTTGATGCATCGAGAGCGCGCCGCTGCATTGCTGATCGAATTGTCGATCACGAGGATCACAAAGGCCATGCGCTGGACGATGTCTCGACGCCAACGAAGAACCATGTCGAGAACATTACAGGGTTCGCTGATTGAGATATTAGCAGGCGGACGATACATGAGGGCCTCGAAGTACGCTGGCATAGGACGTTTCAGTCGTGGTCGAGGATTATGAGTCCCGTATAAAGACGGTGATCGCGACCGACGCTGCCGGTTCCATCCCCGATCTCCGAGCCGTGATACTCGCTCGGGAGCTACTACGAGCTCTTGAGCGAATCCAAGACCTAATATGAGGCTCGGGAGCATATGGATGATTCGGTAAACGACCACGGCTATGTGAATGTCCAAGGCGGTCGTAAGGACGCGCTTTCACTCGCCGCAGCTCATACACTTGGAGCTCCGAGAGGCTCCTCTCATAACGAGCAATTCATGGTCGAATATGCTCGGATATCCCCCTCGCGCACGCCATGTAGCCCCATTTCTGCCGTAGTGGGCGCGGTCTGCCCATATTGTGCATGGGACACCCCTCACGAACGTGGACGTAGCAATGTGATACTCGTCACAGGTCAGGCTACAGAAGCGCCAGCGCAGGTCGCCAATGGCGTGTCTATCACGCGTTCCCTCGCGGTCATCTAGCCCAGGACGTGAAGGACGTTAATTCATGTCGACTCGCATTCCAGCGCCTGATGAAGGCACACCAAGATCTCTGCAACGCATCGTCTGTATACGCATTGTTCGTTGCTTCGCATATCACAATGCTGTATCGCGTGAAGAGGTTCTTTATGATCTCAAGTGACTTGGATTCGACAGCATCTTCGAGACCATATAAGTGCCATGATTTTATGCCCATCCATGAGCTGCAGCGCCTGCTGACTTCGGAATCTTTTTGTGTCCCCAGTTCTGGCTGTCACAAATATCGTTTCGTGGACGTCCAGGGTCCATGCTGCTCAGTTATGTCTAATTGAACAGGTTCGAAGTTATGCCGTTGGTCAACAAAATACTTTCTGCGTTTCCCGCTTACGTTGAGGTAAGCGCAACTATAAGAGGGAGTGATGTAATGGGAACCTATTACATACGTAGTTGTAGGAATAATAAATAATTACATAAGTATACATAGGGCACTATCCGTTAATCGGATACTGCGCGCCCTTTTTCTTATTAGTTTATTATTGGGGTGACCGACCCAACAATAAACCAATGATAAATTTACTTCCATATTTAGTCGTTCTCATGAGCTATGGAACATCTTCGCATTTACTGCAAATCAAAACAAAACAAAAACAGAGTTATATTTACGAGCTAAGTAAAAGCGCTTCCTCAACGCCCTTTTAGTGTGAGACGGAAACGGGCCTTTATCCCGATACACCCACGCTGTTGCGAAATCGCAATCACGTGCTGGAATATCTATATAATGGTCGGGGATCAGGAGGGGCGGAGCGCCCTATTGATCAATTGAGATCAAGATAATCTCGAGGAACTCCTGACGAAAGTTGCTCATAACAAACATTCACTGTGTGTTGCCGCTCCTAGTGATGAGGTATACCTCATCACCTTAAAGATCGAAGTGACAAAGACATGTTACTTCGCGCTCTAGCTGATTGTGGGGCGTCGAAAAACTTTGTCAGACGCCAGTCGTTAGATGATCGTAGGCTTAAATAATTTGATCACGAGACCTTTCTAACGAGGATGACGGTGCAATTTGCAACTGGCGCATCGTAACAGTAAAGAAACGTGTAGTGAGAATGCACTACTCACTTGAAGGTAAGGAGTACGATGAATATTTCATCGTACTCGACCTGGATGAAAAAGTTGATGTCATTCTAAGATTACCATGGCTTAGAAGATACGAGCCACAGGGTAGCTGTCAGCATC